TTTGAACTTCTTGAAACCAGTTAACTTGCAAACATATTTTCAAAATATCAAAACTGCAGTTATTAAGTGTGGATTTTTTTCTTGTTTGTTTGTTTACTACAAACCTGAAGACTTAAAATGTGTATATTAGGATCTGGAATGGGTGATACTTCAGTATTGGCCCTATAAAAGTAATGTGGTTTACTTACCCAACACTTTCATCCAATAGTTATGACTAATATCATTACAGAAAAGTGTTTTATAAACACCGAGTTCACCCTGCAGCTAGACGAGCCTTAGTAAGAAAGGGAAGTGACACCAGGTTCCAGAAATAAATCTTAAAAATATTTGTTTTGATTTATGAAGGACACTTAAATGGTCAAATTTGGTAGGTGAAGATAGTCTGCTAATGATAAAAAATTTAATTAGTGTGAGAATTTTGGTTACTATAGAAACATGAAATCAGGGCTACAGTTTTTATTTCTTAAGTTAACATACATTGTAATTTTTTGGTATACGGTTCTATAAATCTTAACATATGTGTAGATTCATGAAGCCACCACTAAAATTAGAACATCACCCCAAAAAACTCTTAGGCCTTGTTTTTCCTCACCTCCTGGCAATTACTGATCTGTTCTTCCAACACTACAGGTTTTGTCTTTCCAAGAACGTTGTGTAAATGGACTCATAACTTTTCTAGATTGCCTTTTTTCATTCAACGTATTATCTTAAGATTAATCCAAGTTAGTTGTCATTTATTTTAATAGTTTTTTCTCCATATTGCTGAGTAGTATTTCATTGCTTTTTTGTTTTTTCCACTGCCCATTTGAGGAGTTTCTAGTTCTTGAGATATATGTGAATAGAAATGCTGTAAATGTTTATGCACAGGTTTTTGGCTGAACATAAGTTTTCATTTCACTTGAGTAAATATCTAGGGCTAGGTTGTATGGCAGATAATGTTTAATTTTATTAAAACATTGACAAAGTTTTTTGGTTCGGTTTTGATTTTCCCTTTTATTAGTAGAATTCCATTTTCTTTTAAGGTCACAGTTGAAATTGTACTATTGATAACATTCCAGATTTAATCAACATTTTAATCTTATATTAATATGGGGCCTTTAAAAATACAAAGTAGTCTCATTTAAGTGTTTTTTTTTTTTTCTTTTTTTTTTTTTGAGACAGAGTTTTGCTCTGTGGCCCAGGCTGGAGTGCAGTTGTGCAATATCAGCTCACTGCATCCTCTGCCTCCTAGGTTCACATGATTCTCCTGCCTCAGCCTCCTGAGTAGCTGAGATGACAGGCATTTGCCACCAGATTTTTATATTTTTAGTAGAGATGGAGTTTCGCCATGTTGGCCAGGCTGGTCTCAAACTCCTGACCACAGGTGATCTACCAGCTTTGGCCTCCCAAAGTGCTAGGATTACACGCATGAGTCACCACACCCACCTCATTTAAATGTTATTGTTGGTAAACTGTTCATTTGATCTCATTACTTATATGCAAGAACTGTTAACATTTTGGAGTATTTGTTTTTTTTTCGTATTTAAAAAAATGGTATGAGAATATTATATAATTTTTATCTGAAAAAATTAAAGCACAAGTGTAAGTGTGCATAATGTCATACTTTTAAAAATTGCCATTTAATCACTTCCTTTTTGGTGTTTCTGATATTTTCCTATTATGAATAATGTTTGGTGAACATCTTGTACATAGGTGGTCAGCTATATATAGAATTCTTTGTTTAGAATTGATTCCCAAAAGTGGCATAGCTGGGTCAAATGACAGTAATGAGATTCTTAATAAAAAATGGTGAGTTTATCCCACTGTCGGTGTTTGAGACTACTCATTTTTTTGGCAGGGAGGGGTGGGGGGGGCAAGACTACTCATTTTCTTTGCATCTCATCACTCTGAATGCTACTTAAGACATTCATGGAATCAGTCTTCAGCTTTTTCTCAGACTCTTCTAAGCATGTAAAATCCATGTACAAAGCTTCGGAAGGCTAAAAAATGAAAAAGGCTTGTATAGCCTCGGATTGAGAATATAGTTAATCTCGCTGGATAAATGGAATATAAAAGAACAGTTAGGGAAAGCAACATGAACACACATAAAAATTCCTTGTGGTTACTCAATTTATGTAATAAATGTAGCCTTGTAAAATTGTCTGTCATTTTGTAAATTGTATCTTATTTTGAATGTACTGAGAGAGAGCTCATTTAAATAAATCCTGTAATGAGTAACAAATCCTGTAACAGATTTCACTTGGGAAAAAATGTCCTTTCCTCGTTTGGTTATGAGTACATTCTGGTTGACTTGTTTCATAAGTTCAAAATTTTGTTCACTTATTTAGGTAGTATGAATACCTTCTTTGTGCATTAATAGACCCTGTGATATGGTAGGGATATATTTACACGCTGCACTGCATTTGTGAGACTACATATGTGTGATGTAACTAAAAAGAGGGTTAGCTTTATGAATTGCTGTTTCCTCACTGAACAGTTTGAGAAGTATACGGGTATAGTTGTTTGCTCCAAAATTTCCAAAACACAATCCTTTTAATAGTGTTTCATATTTCTTCATCAAAAAGTTTATTCTTTTGCGTTTTCCATTTTAAAAAAGGAGATATTACCAGAAAGTGGAAAGGTAAAGCCTTGTCTGGATTAAGGAGGAGGTGTCACAGAATAAGGAGAGACAGAGTTGCAAAGTGAGAGGGAAGTAGTAAAGGCATATGTTAATTACTTTTTAAATTGTTTTGGGACAAGGTAGAATGTAAATATTTTATCAAATGATTTAACCCTCCCTGAAAGTAGTGGATTAAGTGTTCTCATAATACTGATGAGTTGGAAACAAGAGTGTTGCACCGTGAGTAATAATGACTTTTCTTAAGTTTCACTTTGGAAAATTTATTTATTCACTTATTTGATATGGAGTCTACTCTGTTGCGCAGGCTGGAGTGCAGTGGTGCAATCTCTGCTCACTGCAACCTCTGCCTCCTGGGTTCAAGCGATTCTCCTACCTCGGCTTCCCAAGTAGCTGGGACTACAGACCTGTGCCACCGCGCCCAGATAATTTTTGTAGTTTTTAGTGGAGACAGGGTTTCACCACCTTGGCTAGGCTAGTCTCAAACTTCTGACCTCAAGTTTTTCTTCCACCTTGGCCTCCCAAAGTACTGGGATTAAGGCATGAGCCACCGCATCTGGCCACTTTTGGAAATTTGGAACTAATCCGTAGAGCTTTAATTTGTTCGAACTCCTGACCTCAAGTGATCTGCCCATTACGGCTTCCCAAAGTGTTGGGATTACAGACATGAGCCACCGCGCCTGGCCAAGTTTGAGAGTTTTACCAGAGTAAAATTTCATTAACTTACTTCTTCTTGTTCAGTCTTTATTTCCCTATTTTATGACAATAGAAGGAAAAAATCAGTATAAAATTTAAACAAAGCAAAGCAAAACAACAGCCAAACCCAAATTAACTTTTCCCTGCTTCGAAATATGAAACAAATGAAGTGTAACTTGTCTTAATTCAAATCATAATCTGAAAGATGACATTTATCTATGACAAGGGGGAGGGAGAAAAAGAAGCAGTGAATTGAGGAGGTTCTACTTAGTGTTTTGACAAAATTTTTTGACAATTTTTTTTTCTTTGAGACAGATTCTTGCTCTATCGTCCAGGTTGGAGGTCAGTGGCTCGATCTTGGCTTGCTGCAACCTCCACCTCCTGGGTTCAAGCAATTTTTGTGCCTCAGCCTCCTGAGTACCTGAGATTACAGGTGCATGCCACCACGCCCAGCTTATTTTTGTATTTTTAGTAGAGATGGGGTTTTGCCATGTTGGCCAGGCTGGTCTTTGAGTGATCCGCTCACCGTGGCCTCTCACAGTGCTGGGGTTACAGACATGAGCCACAGTCTCTGCCACCAAAATAGCATATATTTCTAGAATGTTATGTACCATATTTAATTATTCAAAATGTTCTCAGAATATTTTTAAAGACTTTTGGTAGATTTATTATTTTACATCATTATTAAATCTCTTAGCAAGCGTAATTACAAATTGACAAATTTTAAAAAAATATTGCTACAGTAATTGCTGTAAGACCCAGATTTCAAATGACACCTTTGTCAGAGGACATGGACCCCAAAGTAGTTTTATGGAACTTTGCATAGGTTACTTGTTACTTTGCATAGATTATTTGGCCATTATTCTTGCGGGTGGACCTGCTCACAAGATAGTTGGACAACATGTAAATAGTTATTTACTCTCTTTGAGTGCATTTCCACTCAGTTTTTCATGTGTGTTCAAACATCAAGATTAAGTCTTTTTAAGGCCATCCATACAGAAAAGGACTCAGGGTTGTAAAGGACCTTAAAAATCATTTAGTCGTGCATTCAGCAGTTTTTAAATCTCTTTCCCATGTCCCTGCGATTTCCTCTTGTACACTCACTGCCTTCTGAGGTAACTAAAAATGTTCTTTATTATAGATTCTTACTTGTTGAATTGATGGCACAATAGGACTTTACCAATTGGTTATCTCATTTTGTTACATTACTTTTCACATAGTTTTCTAAATTAGTCTTAAACTTACTTAAAAGTAACAACTGTTTGTTAAGGATATTTGTATAGCTCCAGTCTTAACATATCATTTTTGGTTTCTTAGGAAATTCAAAATATTAACGAATTAAAATTCTGTACTGTGGAGCTCTTCACATATATAGCCTTTTCTTACCATCAGAAACACACTAAAGCACTCTGCATCTCCTAGAAGCTCATGTGTCACAGTTACTTTGTGTTTAATAGGTAGTTAATTGAATTTATTGTTAAGTCTACTATTTAATGAGTCTAACCAAACTTACTTTAACATCTATTATGAAGCTTAATAGTTTAAAATAATTTAAAAATACTTGGAGTTTACAGAATGAAAACACTGTTTCAAGTTTGTATGTTGGTTAAAATGTTTTGAATTACTATATGTGTCATTTAAAAAAATGTATGTACTAGTAAATTTTGTAAAATATTTTATCTTTTAGGCGAGGATTAAATCCACCACACAGGGTGAAATCTATCTCCATGACAACATTCACACAACAGGAAATTGAATTCTTACAAAAACATGGAAATGAAGTAATTATGTGTTTTTTAATTTTTTTTTTTTTTTTTTTTTTTTTTTTTGCAATTTTCAACTTTTTTGTTGGCAGTCATTTTAATAAGATTAATGAGTTGTTTAAATGTTGAATTTCGTGGTCTTAAAAAGGTTATTTTTGTATCCTATATTTAGATATTTTGGAATATTTAAAAATATATTTGGAATTAATCTCTAGTACATAAACACTTTAAATCTGAGGTGAAATGTATGTATTTCAAATTCTTCAGTCTTGAATATAAAAGGCATTTCAGAGTACATTGTTATTACAATTACTGTTAGTCTTCACTTTAAAAGTCAAAAAAGAGAAAGAGAATTTATTTTGTGATTTTTATATTAAACTTGTTAGGCTGTTGCTGTATGATCAGCTTTCACTTGAAGTCCTCTCCTTTATTTTTTCTAAATTTTTAACTTTGGATGTATATGTGATGTGTAATGTTTAGCAGGTATTCAGTAGGGAAGAGGTTAGTAGTTCTCAGTGGAAGCCAAGTGTCATGGGGAGCCAGGTGATACAAAGATTTGGTTGGAAGCTTTTTTTCTTCTTGCCTTTAATGGGCTTCCAGTAATTCCATTCTGTTTGCTTGTTTGCTTTTAGGTATATGTTTTGCTATTAGTAAAAGTTTTAAAACTTTTCTAATATTTTTAAAATTAATAAAATTAACAGAAAGTGGGCATTTTTTATAATCCTGGGGTAAGGATGAGCCAGTCAACCCAAGCTGATTAATAATAGCTATTATTATTTCACAGAAAAGTCTTATTTTCTAGAAAGGAATAAGTAGTACTTTAGTGGTACTTTTAGTTGCATCTTTGGTATCCGTAATAAACAAAAAATAAATATTGCGATTTTATAAGTTTTAATCTTCTCTTTGACCCTTAGAAAATATGTGCAAGCATTCTTTTTTTTTTTCTTATTTTTTTATTGCATTTTAGGTTTTGGGGTACATGTGCAGAGCATGCAATACAGTTGCATAGGTACACACATGGCAGTGTGTTCTGTTTGCTTTCACCCCTTCACCCACATTTGGCGTTTCTCCCCAGGCTATCCCTCCCCACCTCCCCCTCCCACTGGCCCTCCCCTTTTCCCCCCAATAGACCCCAGTGTTTAGGACTCCCCTCTCTGTGTCCATGTGTTCTCATTTTTCATCACCTGCCTATGAGTGAGAATATGCGGTGTTTCATTTTCTGTTCTTGTGTCAGTTTGCTGAGAATGATGTTCTCCAGATTCATCCATGTCCCTACAAACGACACGAACTCATTATTTCTGATTGCTGCATAATATTCCATGGTGTATATGTGCCACATTTTCCCAATCCAGTGTATCATCAATGGGCATTTGGGTTGATTCCATGTCTTTGCTATTGTAAACAGTGCTGCAATAAACATTCGTGTGCATGTGTCCTTATAGTAGAATGATTTATAGTCCTTTGGGTATATACCCAGTAATGGGATTGCTGGGTCAAATGGAATTTCTATTTCTAAGGCCTTGAGGAATCGCCACACTGTCTTCCACAATGGTTGGACTAATTTACACTCCCACCAACAGTGTAAAAGTGTTCCTTTTTCTCCACATCCTCTCCAGCATCTGTTGTCTCCAGATATTTTAATGATCGCCATTCTAACTGGCGTGAGATGGTATCTCAATGTGGTTTTGATTTGCATCTCTCTGATGACCAGTGACGATGAGCATTTTTTCATATGATTGTTGGCCTCATATATGTCTTCTTTCGTAAAGTGTCTGTTCATATCCTTTGCCCACTTTTGAATGGGCTTGTTTGTTTTTTTCCTGTAAATCTGTTTGAGTTGTTTGTAAATTCTGGATATCAGCCCTTTGTCAGATGGGTAGACTGCGAAAATTTTTTCCCATTCTGTTGGTTGCCGATTCACTCTAGTGACTGTTTCTTTTGCCGTCCAGAAGCTGTGGAGATTGATTAGGTCCCATTTGTCTATTTTGGCTTTTGTTGCCAATGCTTTTGGTGTTTTGTTCATGAAGTCCTTGCCTACTCCTATGTCCTGAATAGTTTTGCCTAGATTTCCTTCTAGGGTTTTTATGGTGCCAGGTCTTATGTTTAAGTCTTTAATCCATCTGGAGTTAATTTTAGTGTAAGGTGTCAGGAAGGGGTCCAGTTTCTGCTTTCTGCACATGGCTAGCCAGTTTTCCCAACACCATTTGTTAAATAGGGAATCTTTTCCCCATTGCTTGTTTTTGTCAGGTTTATCAAAGATTGTATAGTTGTGTTGCCTCCGGTGCTTCTGTTTTGTTCCATTGGTCTATATCTCTGTTTTGGTACCAGTACCATGCTGTTTTGATTACTGTAGCCTTGTAGTATAGTTTGAAATCTAGTAGTGTGATGCCCCCCGCTGTGTTCTTTTTGCTTAGAATTGATTTGGCTATGCGGGCTCTCTTTTGGTTCCATATGAAGTTCATGGTGGTTTTTTCCAGTTCTGTGAAGAAAGTCAACGATAGCTTGATGGGGATAGCGTTGATTCTGTAAATTACTTTGGGCAGTATAGCCATTTTCACGATATTAATTCTTCCTAACCATGAACATGGAATGTTTCTCCATCTGTTTGTGTCCTCTCTGATTTCGTTGAGCAGTGGCTTGTAGTTCTCCTTGAAGAGGCCTCTTACGTTCCTTGTGAGTTGTATTCCAAGGTATTTTTTTCTTTTTGTAGCAATTGTGAATGGCAGTTCGTTCTTGATTTGGCTTTCTTTAAGTCTGTTATTGGTGTAGACGAATGCTTGTGATTTTTGCACATTGATTTTATATCCTGAGACTTTGCTGAAGTTGCTTATCAGTTTCAGGAGTTTTTGGGCTGAGGCGATGGGGTCTTCTAGGTATACTATCTGTGCAAGCATTTTACACTTTGCCTTTCTTCCTAATACTTAGAAAGTCATATCTTAAAATCGTTTGCCTACTTGTGATGTCCATGTGCTTTTGGTTCTAAAATAGTGAGGAAATATAAATTCACAGCTATGAAATATATTTAAATACCTGATTTAAGGAAGAGAGCATATTTTGAAGTCTCCAAATTTTGCAATTGACAAATTATTTTGAGTATTCAGATTCCAGACTAGTGTGAATACATTATAAGAACGTGTAAAGCTGGATGAAAGGGTAGAAGGTTTTTAATGACAGTAAGCATAGAACAATATATATATTGATTAAAATACAATTTGAACTATTTGTATAAATTTTACAAGTAGGATTAACTTAACACTGCACACCTGAAGTTACTTTCTTAGAATATTGGCTTAGTGTGCAAAATTTTGGAAATTAGAATGGAATCAGAAATAAAGAATATTATTCTATTTTTAGATTTAAAATGTGACAATAGGTAAAACCAGAGTAAAGAAACTATGATAATGGCAGTTCATTGAAGAAGTCAAAATATAATCACATGTGAGATAAGGTTAGGTGGAGACTGTTACAAAAAATACCAAGATTGAAGGAGTATGTATTTTTAGTTGTGGTAGGAACATTGATCTACCCTCTTAACAAATTTTTAGCTGTGCAATATTGTATGCTTAACTATAGAGACAGTGTTGTATAGCAGATTTCTAGAAATTAATCATCTCGTATAACTGAAATTTTCTATCGTTTGAATTACAGCTGCTCATTTTATCCTCTGTCCCTGGTGCCCCGATTCTACTCTCTGCTTTTATGAGTTTGACTATTTTAGATACCTCATATAAATGGATTAAACAATATTTGTCAATCTGTGATTGGCATATTTCACTTAGTGTAATGTCCTCAAGATTCATCTTTATTGTCACATATGGCCAGATTTTTGAGGGAGTATTTTTTAAGGCTATAGCATTAAGGTAAATTTAGAATATATAAAATAAATAGTTGATTTAGGGGAACTCACTGTATCAGAAAGTAGAAGCAAAATATATGAAATGCATTCATGAATCTTAAGTCCTACAAAGAGGTATGCAGGTTGATAAACCACTCAAACCACTTACTATGACAATCGCTGTTACTGTGCTGGGCATTCTGGATGTGGTTATAGATGTGTAACACTGGCTTAGTGGATAGAGGGCTCCAGTTGGAGTGACAGATAAATAACATAATTGCAGCATGGTGTTAGATAAATAATGATAAGAAGTATCAGAAGTGGTATGGAGAAGGGACCTAGTCTTTTCGTGGGAAGGAGAGGATTGGGAAGACCCCCACGGAAGAAGTAACACCTTTGCTGGTTTTTGAGGGTAACTAGGACCTAAGCTGATAGTGGAAGTCACTGAAGGTGGAGCAAACAATACAAAAAGAAAAGGGAGACTTGCAATAGATTGCTAGAATATATACTGACCTTGTAAATGCTTGTTAAGAAAGACAAACATACCTTCTCATAGTGTACCAAAGGACATCTTAGAACCAAAATAATTGGACAGGTATATCTGTTTCTTTATAGTATTAACAGTATCTTTGTTTTTAAGTTTTTGAGAGGTGTTTAGAGGATGAAGATATGAAGTGTGAGATAGTTGCTACAGCTTTAGAACCAAATCTTTGTGGATTTCAAGTACAAGTGTTTTATTATCAGCTTATCTTTTTAAAACCTTTAAATCATAAGTATCACATTTGTAGGGAATAGTACCAGAATTTAAGTTTACATTTCAAAATAAGTTGCCATGTTTCTCTCGTCACCTTTCAGTAGTTTGGAAAGGACCATATTCAGTCACATAAGTTTTGGGTTAACAAGGTACTACCATACATCTTGTGCATGAATGAGTTCATGCCTGAAGAAGGGTATTTTCAAAACTAAAAGATCAGAAAATGTATTGGCTTTGGCAGCAGCCTTGGGTCTTTGACCCCCACCAGGGAGTTTTAGTACGCATGGGGGCATGTTTGGTTGTTGTCACTATTGGGGGATGTTGCTGGCTTAAGCAGGCAAGTGCCATGAATGATGAGTGACTTATAATGTTTTGAACAGAATTAACCTGCATGCCATATGCTATGAATGTTCCTCTAGACATTTATAT